ATTCCGCAGGATGGCACTGAGGTAGCTCTGGGAAAGTCTCTTCAGTCCGTTAGATGGGACAGCCCCGTAAAGGCTGAGCTGTGGAGTTAACTTCGTGCGAGAGGCTGGACCTGAAATGCTCAGTGCTGTTGGCCTGAGAACCACAGTCGGTGTTTTTATGAGGGTGGTGAGGCACTGGAGCAGGTTTTCCAGAGAAGTTGTGGCTGCCCCATCCCTGGAAGTGTTCCAGGCCAGGTTGGATGAGGCTTTGGGCAACCTGGTGAAAACTGCCCATGGCAGGGGGCTTGGAACTGGATGCTCTTTGAGGTCCCTTCCAACCCAAACCAGTCCATGATTCTACGAGAAGGAGTTACCTGAGAGATACTGTGTGTGTCAGGGTGAGGAGGTCGGGAGGTCCAGCACGCAGGAGATGCCAGCCTTGGGGAGGGCTGGGTGGAGGATGTTTGTCAAGGGTGGCTTTTGCAACCTTGATGTTGTGCTGTTTGCTAGACCAGGCCTCTCGCTTGCCAAAGAGTTTCTACAATAGTAAAGCCTATAATGGTCGTTGCATAAAGCTCTGATGTAAGAAAAATCTCTCTTGGATTGTTTGCGAGCCACCCGCGGCTCAACTACACAAGTTGGCTACTAGTCTAATGGCTTGAGCAAATCATGGCAGAAGCAGGATCTCAGGGGAGAAAGTGGAGAAGGAGAGGAAGTTTTAGTGTGGAGTAATGATGGGTTTAGTATGGAGGGAACAGTGTGTCTTGCTAGATGTTGTAATTCATTCTCAAAGTCTACACCAACTGCTACTTCTCAGTACCCCAGAGTGGAAATCAATTATAGAATTTTGTTTACATAAAAACTGTCTTTTTCCAGAACTGAATATGATTAATAAGAAGTTCATTTGATAGAAATACTCAGTGAACGTATACTAAAGCCCGTGGAAAGAGTACAGGAATGAGCCCTGTGTGTTTTTGCTCTTTAAGGAATGCTTTTATCATATACCAGCAAATTGTTTTTAAATCTTTACAGATAAATGGACTATAAGAAAATCACAGATGAAGTTTCAGAAAAAATTTTATCGTACAGTCAAGATACTTCAGGATGGAGAGTGATAAAAGTTTCAGTAAGAAAATACTAGTTTATATTGTTGATGAAGTTATTTTTATTAAATGCATCTTGTTGCAAAAAGTGTTTAAAACTGTTTTCCTTTAAAAGTGAGCTGAAAACTGTTTATCAACTGCTAAGTTTTTATTTTTCCTTTTTCTACTTTGAGAAAAATGTTACAGTTTCTTCAAAGCCTTCCAAAGAGTATGCAGGAAATATGTAAGTACTTACATTTTCTTTGTCATTGTGATGAATAACAACCTCTTTTTTGAACAGTGCCACCCAGGATGGAAATGGAAAAAAAGTTAACCCATGTTCTGCCCTTCGTGGCAGCGTGAAGTTTAGTTTTGTGAGCTGTAGAGAAGATTTTTGTGCTGTAGTTACACTGGGTCAGCAATAGGGCTGGAATACAAGAGATGAATTTCCTGAGCAATTTTCAAATGTGCAATGAAAATTAAATACTATATAACACTTACTAGTATGGGGTGAGTAGCTATGGAGTAAGAGTTTTGGCCTGAGGTGAGGAACTCTTCCTGGTGCAACATTCTACTCAAGAGATTACATCTTACCAGCTGCGCTTCGCTTTTCACCCCTTCGTACTCGTGATGTGGCTGATGCTCACATGTGCAGGCATGTTTACGCTGTCATTCCACCTTATCTGTCCTTTGTACCTTTTTCTTTCTGGCACCTGAAACTGAATTCGCTGTACTGGGAATGTCGTGTGATCTCTGGAGCACCAATGTCATCTGTCCCTCCTTCTCTTAAGCCATGAATTCTGGGCTGTTGAGCAGCTAGATTTGGCCCAAAGGGTTGAGTTAAGTGAGGCAGACTGAGCTGATCTCACAGCTTGCTGTCACTGATAGACTTGGCTCTACTCTTCACCTTACTGTACTGGGAATGTCGTGTGATCTCCGGAGCACCAACGTCATCTGTCCCTCCTTCTCTTGAGCCATGAATTCTGGGCTGTTGAGCAGCTACATTTGGCCCAAAGGGTTGAGTTAGGTGAGGCAGACTAAGCTGATCTCACAGCTTGCTATCACTGATAGACTTGGCTCTACTCTTCACCTTCCTCCTCCCCTCTTCTGGCTCTGCAATCCTGTTTCCCATTTATGGTGGCTGTGGCACTCAGCTGCTTGTTTACCAAGCTGATTCAGCTCATTAAACCAGGGAAAGGAAAAAAAAAAATTATCTCACTGAGGAGAAGTGTGCAAAAGCAGAGGAGAAGAGGACACTCGCAACATCTCCTTAGCTCCTCTCTCTCTCTTTTTTTTTTTTTCCTTTTTAACACCTAATGGCTATTAAATGATATTAAATGCCAATCTAGACAGATAAGGCAGTAGAGAGCATTTGCTCTCCATATGATGAGATGTTTGTGATTAGTGGTCTTCTAAATCCAAAAGTCTCGCTAGGTTTTCTAATTATTTCTGCAGGTTGGAGCAAAGAAGATATTGATTACAGCAGACAGTGTTGTATCACTAGTATTACAGAAGAATTGCTTTACAGTGTTATAATGGAAAATAGCTGTAATATTTCATCAGGATATGTTAAAAGTACTGTTATCTTCATAAGAAGATACTAGCTGTTTCGAGGAGCAAAAGTATAGCTGTTCCCATTTTCAGTTTGACATGAAATATTTATTTACTGCATATCATAGAATCGTCTGGTTGGAAGAGACCTTCAAGATCATCGAGTCCAACCATTCCCCCTGCACTGTCAGGGTCCCTAAACCATGTTCCTCAACACCAAATCCACATGTTTTTTAAACACCTCCAGGGATGGGGACTCCACCACCTCCCTGGGCAGCCTGTTCCAATACTTCACAACCCTCTCTGGAGAGAAATTTTTCCTGATCTCTGACCTAAATTTCCCCTGGCATAACTTGAGGCCATTCCCTCTCGTCCTGTCATTCCTAATGTGGGAGAAGAGACCGACCCCCCATCTCCCTACGACTTCCTTTCAGGTAATTGTAGAGAGTGAGAAGGTCCCCCTTGAGCCTCCTGTTCTCCAGACTGACCAGTCCCAGCTGCCTCAGCCCCCAGTTTCTTTTTTGAATTGGCAAAAGTATGAACAGTTTGCTTTCCTTGCTAAAAGAAACCAGCATGGGATCTGGTGGTGAAAAGCAACAGAGATTCTTGCTTCAGTCAGGTGAAATGTTTTCAGCAGAGTTCAGGGAAGCATTGAGGTGATCGTTTAAGGCTGAACAGGATTTCCTTTGGAATTATGTCACCTCAAGCAAGACAAGGAGGTATGTATTTCAGTTTGTCTGAGACAGTGAGAGTAGATTTGGTGATCCAAGCGGGCTTCACCAGACTAACTTCCTCTTTTTCCAGTGTTCCCAATAATCCACTGTAAAAATGGGAAATGGAGGTTTTTCACACGTGTGCCCTTTCTTTTATTCTAGCAACTGTGTCTTTCAGAAGCCTTGCCTAGAAGAAGTCCTCCTACTTAACAACTCCCACTGAGTTTAGGAGAGAAGATGTTGCAGGATGCAGGCGAGAGCTGCTTAGGAGATTGGTAAACATAAATTCCTGGGAGTTATGGAAATAGAAGGTTTATCCAAATATTAATGATGCTGGTTTTAACTGGTCCTTTGCGTTTAACTGTGGGCTGTGAGCGCCTACCGTGGTGATTCATAGTTTCTCCCGGAACTAGGTGTGAGAATTACCAGTATTAATGAGCAGTTCCCAGCATCACAGGAGTTTCCTATTTCCTTGTGAGAGGCCCCTCTTCTCCTCTGTGAACTTTCACTTGAACTCCTCGGAAGATTATGAACAAAAGTTGGAGAAATGCCAGGATGTGCTGGTTCATAAATAGCGAGAAGGTTTGCCATCGGGGTCAAAATGGATGGAAAGTTTCTATACAGAAAAAAAACATTAATAGATTAATCATATATATTTAAGTTACTGGGTTCCTATCTAACAGCTCACAAATAATTCATTTAAAATGTATGGTGTCAAGAATGTAATGCTCTCAAAAATCAGTTACAGAATAATCATTTTTATTACTATGAAATTTTAATCAACCCATCGATGCAATCACATTCATGTGCTTTACCTCATTATAGCCTGACGTCCCCAACTGCTAGATGCTTATTATTCTAGAACTTATTTTTCCAGTTCCTAAATGTGAATTCAATATCTCTTTTTTTTTTTTTTAACACAATCTAGATACCGTGGAGAAGGGATCATTAAGGAAGTCCCTAGCAAAATTATTCCTTTTATGTATCTTCCTGAATATCGAAACAAATGGGACAAAGCATTACAATCTTACAAGCTGTTAGAAAGGATCGACCAGGTAATAAGATAATTTAATACAAAGATTTGATTTTTAACTCTTTCTGCATGAATTAAGGTGACTAAAAAGACCTCTACTGGGACAAAGTATGTTCTGGCTCAGTAAAAACTTCTAAACCTGCTGCTGATGTGAAATTGGTATGAATTGTGCACTTTCCTCTGCTTGGATCCACTTGAGCGGGTCGGATGTTAGGATGCAGTGGTACATCCAACCGTGTCTTTGCTTTTTTTTTGGAACTGAGTCAGTTTAACAGATGATACATCTTTGTCCTGGAACGCCACGTGCGGTCTAGCATGTGTATTTTGGTGCAGATAGGCATTCTGGGTGGTAAATGTGCCTGTTAGGAGTTTTTTCCACACAGAAACTGTACTCCTGCCTCAAATTAGGCCACTGGGAGTGGCAGTGAATCCCCACCCTGTGTTACTGGGAGATCCCTTTCATGGCTCTCCCATTAGTTCAGCACTAACTGGGTATGAGACCTGTTGTTTTATGCTAACAAATAGGAAATAATTCAAAAAATCCCTTTTACTTCCTCGTAGGACACCGGTATATACCACAGTGTAACGCACAGTTATGGGATGGGACTGATTTCATCAAGAGATTTTGTCGACCTGCTGCATGTCAAACCATATCCTGGTGGTATCCTTACAACTAACTGTAAGTTGCACGTAACCACTGCGTGTTTTTGTGTTTTGGCTGCGTTCTGGCAATCCTGAGGTGAAAGAATTATCAACACTGATCTTCAAAGAGAACACTGTAGCCTTTGTTTGTTTTTCCTATTATGCCTCCCTTTGCAAAATTGAAAAAAACGGAGGAGGAGGAAGCTAGAATTTATTATTTCACTCTAGAAATTCAGTGTTTATTTAATAACACTTCTCTGTAGATGGCTTCCTGACTTGCTCGTCTCAGAGTGAGCTGCTCATTTACCCCATATTTGATTCTTTTTGAATTTGCCTCTGAGAACTTATACAAAATGCAAAATGATGAATTTTACAACTATATTTGGTGACTAATTTGGTGGCCTTCTATGATGAGGTCACAGCGTTGATGGGTAGGGGAAGAGCAACTGACATTGTCTACCTGCACTTATCCAAAGCATTTGACACTGTCCCACACGACATCCTTGTCTTTAAACTGGAGAGACATGGTTTTGATGGATGGATCACTCAGTGGATAAGGAATTGGCTGGATGGTCGCACTCAAAGAGTTGTGGTCAACGGTTCAATGTCCAAGTGACGAGTGGTGTTCCTCAGGGGTCGGTACTGGGACCAGTGCTATTTAACATCTTTGTTGGAGACATGGACAGTGGGATTGAGTGCACCCTCAGCACGTTTGCAGATGACACCAAGCTGTGTGGTGTTGTGGACACACTGGAGGGAAGGGATGCCATCCAGAGGGACCTGGACAGGCTGGAGAGGTGGGCCTGTGAGAACCTCATGAAGTTCAACAAGGCCAAATTCAAGGTCCTGCACATGGGTCGGGGCAATCCCAAGCACAAGTACAGGCTGGGCGGAGAGTGGATGGAGAGCAGCCCTGAGGAGAAGGACTTGGGGGTGCTGGTGGATGAGAAGCTCACCATGAGCCGGCACCGTGCGCTGGCAGCCCAGAAAGCCAACCGTGTCCTGGGCTGCATCCAAAGCAGCGTGGGCAGCAGGGCGAGGGAGGGGATTCTGCCCCTCTGCTCTGCTCTCCTGAGACCCCCCCTGCAGTGCTGTGTTCAGCTCTGGAGTCCCCAGCACAAGAAGGACATGGAGCTGCTGGAGTGGGGCCAGAGGAGGGCCAGAAAGATGATCCGAGGGCTGGAGCACCTCTGCTCTGGAGACAGGCTGAGAGAGTTGGGGCTGTTCAGCCTGGAGAAGAGAAGCCTCCAGGGTGATCTTATTGCAGCCTTCCAGTACTTAAAGGGGGCCTACAGGAAAGCTGGAGAGAGACTTTTTCCAAGGGCATGTAGTGACAGGACAAGGGGCAATGGATTTAAACTGAAAAAGAGGAGATTTAGATTAGATCTAAGGAAGAAATTTTTCACTCTGAGGGTGGTGAGGCACTGGACCAGAGAAGCTGTGGCTGCCCCATCCCTGGAAGTGTTCAAGGCCAGGTTGGATGAGGCTTTGGGCAACCTGGTGTAGTGGAGGGTGTCCCTGCCCATGGCAGGGGGGTTGGAACTGAATGATCTTTGAGGTCCCTTCCAGCCCAAACCAGTCCATGATTCTGGGATTCTATATGGCCAGCCAGGAAAATACCTCGCTGCCACTTCATTTGTCTGCTAATCCTTTTCCTTTGTGTGGATCTTAGTACATGGCAGAAAACAACATTTTTCATCTTAGAACTTTACTGATTTATCTTTTTTTTTTTCAAGCTTATCTTTTCTTTTTTTTTTTACTGACATCTTTTTTTTTATTTTCTTACAATACTTCTATTATGCTAAAGTGATGGGTAACTAAACAAAACAACCCCTCCCACCTGTGCAGTTTCCTCATCTTCTCTGCAATTACCTTTCCTAATTAATGACTGTGCTGACAAATTGACTTCTTTGGCCAAACTAAGCCACAGCTCAACGCTCAGATATGTGGAATCACGTCTGAAAGATCGTATTTTTCAGCATACCTGCCCAAACACCTATAGAAACTTTGCCATGTATTGCGTCCCTTGCCCAAATATTTCATGTCCTGCGGGTGTTTTGCACGCGCAATTGGATTGCTGAGCACATCAGTGACCCTATTGCGACATCTTATGGTCGTTAGTTGGTTTTTAAAAGGTATTTTAAAGTCATAGGACTGACATATATAAACATCATTCATTTGATTTTGCTTTTTGTGGATGGTGGCTTACAGCTGTCAGCGTGGAATACTCTGACTGCCCTCCGACTCCCTCTTGTGTCCGAGGCTACAACAATCCCTGCGGATACGTGTGTTCACCTTTGCCTGAGTAAGTATTTAATTATCTTGGCATCTGTGATTACTCCCTTGTCTTCTCTAAACAAAGCTTAAAATTTACTGAACCACACAGCTGTTTTTTTTTTTTTTAAATTTCTTTTATGGAGATAATTTTATTCTGGGGAAACTTCGGAGTTTTGTGCAGCTCAGTTTTGTGACTCAGACTATCCTCGGAAACGACTGAAACTTTTCTGTGTCCTCCATTTTCTTCTATTAGTAATACAGGGACTATAAATTGTAAACATTTGTACATCTCAGTAAGCTTCACAGCAAGAGGAACAAGTGTTAACTGAAGGATTTTGCTCCTTTCATCCCAGGAATCCAGAGCATTCTAAGCTAGTTGTATTTATCCAGCCAGAACTAGGAGGAATGCTTCCCTCTTCCATAGTGGAGACAGCATTACCTACTACCCTCATAAACTTACTCACTGAAACAAGAGCTGGACTGAAAGGCTTGAAAGATCAGAATTAAACGTAAGTGAGAGATAAGAAACCCTGGAGTCACTCTGGATTCATTTTTAAAGTAGGTGATGAAGTTTATTTTAATTGTGGTTTATGTGGAAATGTGTAAATTTAAATTTAATTGTCGATATGGTGAATGTGGGTTTGCGCTGTTCTTGGGAATGATGCAAGAATATACCTGGAAGTGCCAGCAAAGTTCTGGAGGTCGCCTTCAATGTAATCAGGTGATGTTTTGTAATATTTTTGCACTTTATATGCAGAAAAAATATATATATATGTACGCAAACACGAGAATCTCCTGATATAAATCATAGCAATGTTAAAATCCACTAGTCAAGTATTTTGCCATAGCTTTAAACACACTTTGATAAATTCTTACCTCAATTATGTACTTTTGACACAAACAAGCAAACATCTTGTGTACCAGAGACTTTAAACGTGTTTATTAATTAACTATGAGTGTGCAAATGTAATTAGCAACGATTTCACTGTTTTGGAACGAAGGATTTGAAGACAAGCCTGCTGAATTTGGATATAGTCTCTCATTAAAAGCTGCTCTTTATACACAGAGTTGGTTGTCGTTTTCTGAAACCTAAATAATTTTTATATGCAACCTAATTCCCAGGAACAAGCTGGTGATGTGATTCATTTGGAAGTAAGGTTTCCCATTACCCCCTAACTGCAGGAAATGGTGACAGACATATGAATAGCAATTTTGACTACAGATCACTGAAATAGCGGTGTAAATGAGAGACTAGGCTGAAAATTGCTTTTATCATAGAATCACAGAATGGTTTGGGTTGGAAGGGACCTCAAAGATCATCCAGTTCCAACCCCCCTGCCATAGGCAGGGACACCCTCCACTACACCAGGTTGCCCAAAGCCTCATCTAACCTGGCCTTGAACACTTCCAGGGATGGGGCAGCCACAACTTCTCTGGGCAACCTGTGCCAGTACCTCACCACCCTCAGAGTGAAAAATTTCTTCCTTAGATCTAATCTAAATCTCCTCTTTTTCAGTTTAAATCCATTGACCCTTGTCCTGTCACTACATGCCCTTGGAAAAAGTCTCTCTCCAGCTTTTCTGTAGGCCCCCTTTAAGTACTGGAAGGCTGCTGGAAGGTCTCCCTGGAGGCTTCTCTTCTCCAGGCTGAACAGCCCCAACTCTCTCAGCCTGTCCCCATAGCAGAGGTGCTCCAGCCCTTGGATCATCTTCGTGGCCTCCTCTGGACTCGCTCCAGTAGCTCCATGTCCTTCTTATGTTGGGGACTCCAGAGCTGAACACAGTATTCCAGGTGGGAGAGGGGCAGAATCACCTCCCTCGACCTGCTGCCCACGCTGCTTTTGATACAGCCCAGGATACGGTTGCCTTTCTGGGCTGCTAGTGCATGGTGCCGGCTCATGTTGAACTTCTCATCCACCAGCACCCCCAAATCCTTCTCCTCAGGGCTGCTCTCAATCCATTCTCCGCCCAGCCTGTCCTTGAGCTTGGGATTGCCCCGACCCATGTGCAGGACCTTGCACTTGGCCTTGTTGAACTTCATGAGGTTCTCACAGGCCCACCTCTCCAGCCTGTCCAGATCCCTCTGGATGGCATCCCTTCCCTCCAGCGTGTCCACAACACCACCCAGCTTGGTGTCATCTGCAAACTTGCTGAGGGTGCACTCGATCCCACTGTCCATGTCACCAACAAAGATGTTAAATAGCACTGGTCTCAGTACCGACCCCTGAGGAACACCACTCGTCACTTGGACATTGAACCGTTGACCACAACTCTTTGAGTGCGACCATCCAGCCAATTCCTTATCCACCAAGTGGTCCATCCATCAAAACCACATCTCTCCAGTTTAGAGATAAGGATGTCATGTGGGACAGTATCAAATGCTTTGCATAAGTCCAGGTAGATGATGTCAGTTGCTCTTCCCCTATCCATCAATGCTGTGACCTCATCATAGAAGGCCACCAAATTAGTCAGGCAGGATTTGCCCTTAGTGAAGCCATGTTGGCTGTCACCAATCACCTCCTTGTTTTCCATGTGCCTTAGCATAGGCGCCAGCAGGTTTATCTTCTCTGCTCAGTGCCCTCCCAAGTTGTTAAAAACAATTAACTGCATGCCTAGTGTAACTCGAGGAAAATTCTTTCCCTCCAGTCAGCGTGTTACGGTATTAACAGAGACACTAAAATACATTTGCATCCTAAAGATTCATCAGATAAATGTCAATTTGGAAGAAAGAAATATAAGACAGACTAATTACTACTTGAGCAGGATCAGCAGCAGGTTTTATGTCAAAAGTTGTCAAAATATACATTTAACATTCACATCTTTACAATTTACAGCAAACTTTGCACAACTAAAGTGCCTTGAAGTGCTGATTCTCATAGTGTCACTATAACGAAAAGTGTTTCACTGTGGTTTAAAATATCTTAGCAAACTGTTAGACTGCGATAAACACGTATTCCTTTTTCTTTTGTTGGTTTTAGGCTTTTCAGGGGCTTTATCCATAGAAGTTCTGGACACAGGTTCCTGATTCTTCCATTCAGCTAGCAGTTCTTCTTGCACATCTGCAGGTAGTTCATAAAAAGTCTTGGTGTCAACATTAGGAGGAAATACAATTCCTGCTTGCCTACTACAGGTTTCCTCCTCAGAAGGTGTTTCCAAGGGCTGCTTATCTTTATCCAGGACAGGGACACGCAGAACAGTATGGCTGGCTCCAGCTTCCAGAGCTGACAGACCTCTCCCTCTGAAGTTCAGAGAGTCAGCAGGTTGGTTTTTTGTTGTCAGTGCACTTCTGGGACACCGGGAAGAACAACTGGCCCCGGAGCTGTGCGCCAGACCAGTTGCAGATTCGTGAGCTGGTGTGAGATGTGACGTGCCCCCTGCAGGGTGCAGTGTACTCTTTAGTCCCCTAGAATTTGGGGAAGTGCTGCATACCTCTGTCACAAAACATGCTGATGGCTGACCTGAAACATTCTCAGGAGGGATTGCTTCTGTTTTTTCCGAAATAATTTCTTTTTGAATATCTTCTGGAAGTTCCCTGAAGACTTCCTGGTCAATATCACTACGAGACAAATGAAATGGGAAGTCAGGAGTTCCTGCTTTTTTTATATTGCTTTTCTTTTCCTCTGAAAGTTTCCTCGTTTTTGCAGTTCCAGTTCTGTTGCAGTTGTCGTTCCAAGAAGCACTTCCCTCACCTTGTGAGACATCTTCTACTTCCTGTGGCAAAAAAAAAAAAAAGTAGTTTTACCTGCATAAGTATGTTCTGTGTAATCTACTTGTTACCAAGCACTGTTTTCCTAACAGCAAGTTCTTCAAAGTATTTTTTTTTTCCTTAGGATCAGTTTTAATCTTATTTTCAAACATAGACCTTAAAAAGTGGACACATGTAGAACTCCTTTGCTTATTTTGAAGTAGCAAATATCTTGAAGTTAAATTTTATCACTTTAAAACTCTGTGGAGCTTTAGAATATACAAAGTGACGTTAGTCTTCATATTCCTGAGCAGTTGAGAAGCAGCCAGGTTTATCAATACGTAAAATTTCAAGCCAGAAAACAGTAAATTCATTACACAACATAATTTTGAAGTGACTCAAGTTTTTGTATTATGTGCTGAAAACAGAACTTTTTTATTTGCAGACAGTTTTGGGTATCTTTCAGCTTACCCGGACACGTTTACCAGAGCTTGATGGTGGTGACACCTGCTTTAGATAGAAACCAATCGATCCCTTCTTGCTGCTAGGAAGATCTTTGAGGTTGGAGAAGCAGACGCTCAAAAGGGTGAGGTGAAATGGTAGATCCACATCTATCATCTTTCGAAAGAGTTTCATGAGTATATCAACCAATGGGGACATCACGTTGCTGCTTTCTACAAGAAAAAAGGTTGGAAAAAAGCAATGTATAGAATCAAGAGTGACTGACTGAAGATTGATTTGGTAGTACAAAGGCAAATGCTGTTAAAGCTTTCGAAATAATCTGTCAATATAGTTGTTCAGATGTTCATTCTGCCTGGTCAGATGTGTCCTGAGCTGAATAACAGACCTTTTTTTTTTCTTTTCTTCCCCTCTCCAGTAAAAATGCTTCATTTCACACTCGTGAAAATTACTTTATATTAGAATCATAGAATGGTTTGGGTTGGAAGGGGCCTCAGAGATCATCTAATTCCAACCCCCCTGCCATGGGCAGGGACACCCTGCACTACACCAGGTTGCCCAAAGCCCCATCCAACCTGGCCTTGAACACTTCCAGGGATGGGGCATCTACAACTTCTCTGGGCAAACCTGTTCCAGTGCCTCACCACCCTCAGAGTGAAAAATTTCTTCCTTAGATCTAATCGAAATCTCCCCTCTTCCAGTTTAAATCCATTGCCCCGTGTCCTGTCACTACACATCCTTGTCCAAAGCCCCTCTCCAGCTTTCCTGTAGCCCCTTTAGGTACTGGCAGGCTGCTGGAAGGTCTCCCCGGAGCCTTCTCTTCTCCAGGCTGAACAGCCCCAGCTCTCTCAGCCTGTCTGCATAGCAGAGGTGCTCCAGCCCTCAGATCATTTTCGTGGCCTCCTCTGGACCCGCTCCAGCAGCTCCATGTCCTTCTTGTGTTGGGAATTCTACCTAAAGGGCCCTGACAGAGCCAGGTATGTAAAATTACCCCAACTCTGAAAACAACAACATGGTTTCTTGGGCTTGGCATGACTTGATGAGCTGACAGCAATTGCTTGTCTCCTCCAGTGTAGAACACCTGTAGCAATTTTGAAGTGAGAAGCTACAGACACTTCCAATAGCTTCTCCAGGACTCGGAGAAGTAATTTAGGAATTGAAGTCAGGGATCAGGGATTCTGTGTGCTGATCTGAGTCGGATTTATTTCCTCACCCCAGTCTGAATGAATCGTCAAACGAATTGCAATCGCTGGTTGGAAGGCTGAAGTCGGAGAAGGAGGAGAGCCTTTACGTTATTCATTTTCAGAGGGACATCCAAAAGACATTTCATTACATAATAAAACTGAGAACATAAGTCAAATCCTTAACAGAAAAAAGCAGATTGTTTAAGCCGGTAAGCAGCCCCCGGTCACCCTTTCCCACCTCACCAAGAAATTTACTGCCAGGAATCCAGCCAGACTGGGTTAAAACACGGTAGTAAAATAGAATTTACTCCTACAGTGGAATTTGATACATTTTTAGCACATCTCATCAAGACAGATCCATTACAAGGAATGGAAATGTTTCCAAATATGAAGCGTAGGGAATATGATAATGAAATTAAGTAAGGGAATTTTATGGAAAAAACAGACTATCTCAGTTTTTCCTTAATCTAATTAGCACATGCCAGCTTGACAGTCTAAAGCATCTCACTAGAGCCCTTAGCTCTTCTCAAAATACTGTTTCATTTCCAGGTTTGTTCCAAGGTGCATCTTCTGACCGTAGCACCGGCCAGCTAACATTTCAAAATTCTTTCCACCAAGTACAATTTCCAGGGAAGATAAATGGTAGCAGCACAAAGTGTATCCTTCCAAAAATTCTAAGCTTACCTTTTCCAAATTTCTGGATGAGATGAGGTGGAATAGGACACTGACGACTCTCCCGATGGAACCATCTGTCGGTTGAGGAGAACTGGCGGATGCTCAATCTCACCGTGTGTGGTTGGCGTCCATCTTTGTGTATTCTGTGGAGCAGTAATGATCACAAAGCAGTATTACTCGGAGTGTTTTTCAGAAGGTCTATGGGAACTATCACACCATCTAGGTTACAAAGTCCAATTAAGCATTGTTGATCTCTCTCAACATCTGGCTTTATTCCACTGATTATACGGAGAACTTTGGGTCCTTGCTGGTTCCATTAACTACCCAAAAGTTAGAAGTTCAATACAACATGAATACTGTCCCCAAGATTCTTCAGCTGAAGGAAATGTGAAAATTAAGTGGGTCAGTCTGCAATACTGCCACGTTTCAATATTTAATATGTTGCAAACAGGACAGACTTTGGAGTTAGACCCTGTGTAATCCTCAGCTTTTAGCTTTCCTTTTTGCTTTTCAAGGAAACATCCCCACTTTAGCAGCCAAAGGTTAGCTGGCTTTTGGATGAAGGGTAAGAAACAACGATTGTAGTTGTTTCTTTCCCCCTCCAAAAGGCAGAGAGTGGGCAGAGGGTATTTTCCCTGAAAAAAAAAAAAATAATTCTCAATTAAATAATTCTCAAGATAAGACAAAACAGCCTCACTTCAAATTTCACGATGACTGAGCAATGTCCGAGATGCAGATGAAAGACTGATTGCCCACAACATTAATGGAACCAAAATGGATGTATTTATTGTGAGACTTACACAGATGTGTGGACAGGAAACGTTGTAAGAATTGTAGATTATTTTAAGGCTTGGAGTGGCATGCAGAGAACATGAAAATTTATTTAGAGAAAAAAATAAAGAACTAATGGGGGACACAAAGAAGTTGAAACATGGCAGAAGAGGAAACAGTTCAGTGCTGCTCCTTTTTATTGTTTTATTATTTTATTACTTTATTACTTTATTATTTTATTATTATTATAGGAGAAAATACGTGCTCCTGCTACGCAGGTGTTTTTGTCAGGTGTCTTGGGTTTGGATACTGCCTGGCTTCACAGGGCAAGGGAAGGAGGAAGAAATGAAAATGTTCTTTCAGACTGACAGAAAAAGTGCCTGTGGAACAGGAGACAAGCACACATGGTGACAACCAAGGGTGTGAAAGTAGAAAAAGTCACTTATGGAAAGAGGGGGAAAAAAAACCCTAGGGTCCTTCACAGAGGTTAGTGAAGATGCACTAAATCCTGGGATGTACAACCCAGCAACAGAGAAGAACCAGCAAATGGAACAGGAGAAGATCTTGGAAGGGCTGGCAGCAAGACAAAAGACGGGGCCAAGAGGAAAAGGGCCCAACACAGCAGGACAATCCATGAACCGAGGAAAAGAAAGACCAAAGGGGAAGCTGGAGAGGCAAGTGCTGTCCCTAAAAATGCATTGTGCTGGGAGGAGGAATGTAGAGTGAGAGACAAACCTAACGTGCTCCAAGTCCCTTCAGATGACAAATTCAGTTTTATTACTACTGAATCATAGAATCATCTGGTTGGAAGAGACCCTCAAGATCATCGAGTCCAACCGTTCACCCTGCACTGTCAGCATCCCTAACCCATGTTCCTCAACACCAAATCCAAGAAGACAGTCACCTGTCCAATAGGTTAGGAAGCAGTTCTTCAATTTTCTCTTTCACTTCTACTTCTGATGAACACTTTTTAAAGGAATCTTCATCACTAAAGGACTGAAAAAACACATTAGTCCTTTCAATGTTATATTCACTTCGAAGTTCTGAAGAGGAAAAAAGGTATCACAACTAAGTGTGTAGAATTAACTCCAAGGTATCTCTGACACTCAGAGCCCAACTGAATTTCAGGAGAAGTATACATTAGAGTTGTGCTCTACATACAAAACCACATCATTTTGGTTACTCCAGCACAGCTGTATAAAACTAAAAGCAATTTTTTGGCTCTTTGTGAAGTTTTTCAGAACAAGACTGGTACCTGAGGAGGGCCTGATGGAGTCACGGGGGAGCCATCCTCTCCGTAGCTGAGTTTTTGGATACGCTGAGCTACAGAAACGCCCAGTTCCTTCTCCAACGCGGCAGGCGGGAGCGCTTGGAGATCACACACGTTCCTCACACCCAACGTTTCCAGACGTTTGGCAGTTTTGTAGCCAATGCCTAAAGAAAAAGCGTATTAAAAATCCACACTTTAAAAAAGTTTGTGCTGAAAACACAGCATCACCCACAACGTTCGGGCTTCGACGAAAATCAACGGAGCTGTTAGTATTTTTGAAGGTACCTCGTGAAGTGCTGCAACACATTTACGTCTCGACCAAATATTAAGAAAAACCAAAGTCTTCTCATTCCTTCTGCTAAACAAAACTCAAGGAAAAAAAAAAAAGAAAACACCCTGAACACACGCCCACACGGCCCTGCTTGCGAGACCTGGCCTGGAAAATTATTTCAGCTCTGATTTTTGCAGTGGTTTTTCTTGTCGATACGCTCTCCATCTACGCTCACAGCACCACACTTACCGGGCACTTTTTGGATGTGACCAAGGCTGCGCATTAGATCTTGACAGCTTTCAGGCAGAAGAACTGTTTGCTGATTTGGTTTAAAGGTCCCAGATACTAATTTAGACAATAATTTGTTCCAGGCCACTCCTGCACAGCCCGTGAGGTCCAGTCTCAAGTGGATGGCCTCCCTGAACTCTTGGGCAACCTGAGATCCAACAACTAGTCTTACGTGCGTCGTATCGTGCAAATTGATGGCTGCAAAGAAAGAGAGAGCCATGTTTGGTACGTAAACAGTCACCTAATTCGCTTATCCTCTAGATTTGGGTATTTTTTACGTTGCATTAAAGCAGGACAAGAAAGTACGGCCTCACGGATCAAGTGGTATTGCCGTGGCTTCTGTATCCAAGTTGAACTTCACTCCTATCTCCCAAAAACCCTGGGAAAAGGGGGACTGCCACTGTCCAAAGCCAGGGGCATGCTGTCCAGGAAGCATAATATTTAGAGAATATTTTAAATATAAAATACAATATATGAAGAGATGTCAAAAAAAAGCGCATTAAATATCACAGATTCGTGTACCGGTGTAACCAAAGTCGAGATTTACAGATCTTGAATTTCGAGGGCTGCCTTGCAGCTAAGGCTTTATTACTCACTTCCAAATGCCAAACGAGGAGAAATGCCTGAAAAGTCCTTTTTACCTCATCAAACCATATTTAAAGCCATCGCATGAGCTCAAAGTCCAGGAAAAAAACCAACTGCTTTGCTTCCTTGTGCCTGAAACGAGCGTCACGAAATAGCTGTTGCATTCACGTTTGGCGATGCACTCAAAGCAGCTCAGTTCCCTACTTACTAAGTCTGTTCCTGACCTACTGGCTACAGCAAAAATTTACTGGGTTTTGGAGTTTATTTGTTAAAAAACTCATTCAATTTTGCCAACAACATTCAAGCTGAATCCAAAACTCTACAGTAAAAGTACTTTAGAGAAAAAAAAAAAGGACACTGAAAATCATAGAATCATAGAATCATAGAATGGTTTGGGTTGGAAGGGACCTCAAAGATCATCTAGTTCCAACCCCCCTGCCATGGGCAGAGAAATCCTCCACTACACCAGGTTGCCCAAAGCCTCATCCAACCTGGCATTCCATCATTGAACGGTTTGGGTTGGAAGGGACCTTCAGGATCAGCTAGTTCCATCCCACCTTCCCCTAGAGCAGGTTGTCCCAAATCTGATCTGGGATCTCTTCTCCCAAATCATTGTACGTGCTTATCTACCCCAAAGATTTATTTTTTTACAATCCAGTTGGAACACAGATTAACATTTGCCACACGTGTACTCTCAAATACAGAAACCCGGTACCGACCAGCACAAGTTTCCAACTGTTCCTCTCTGGACAATATGAACAGCAGACGGACACTTTGTACTGAACTTCACAAATATTTAACGTATTTTTCAAAATGAGGAACGTTTAACTCACCTTGGTCGTTGTACACGTGGCCAGACACGCAGACTCTGGAACATCCACTTTGCTGCAGCTGGTTCAGTCTTTTCTCCACAATCTCAGTGATATCCACAAAATTTTCATCAAACCCAAGTCTTTCCACCAGCGGACAAAATTCCCCCAACAACTCTAGGAGGAAAAGATACCCAAGGATAATACGCGCACAACTAATAATGCGAAGTTGTCATGTCTGCATCAATCCACAGCTGATTTCCCATGGATTCAGCTGTGTTCTCTTCCAGATAAAATAAGGCAGCACTGATTTTAGCAAAGGTGACAAGGAGGAATATTTCCTCATCCCACAACCACCTCTGTCACCTGCTTTTCTTCTTCCCAAATCTCTTCTTTCTTGCCTCATTCCTTTTTGAAATTACAGTTCTTAACCTCGGCAGTACTTTCTCCTAAGGAAAACTGTTTCCCGGTTAGGTGAGCTTTCACTTTTAAGAGGGGAGATTCACTGAAAGAGGGGAGATTTCGATTAGATCTAAGGAAGAAATTCTTCCCTCTGAGGGTGGTGAGGCACCGGACCAGGTTGCCCAGAGAAGCTGTGGCTGCCCCATCCCTGGAGGTGTTCAAGGCCAGGTTGGATGAGGCTTTGGGCAACCTGGTGTAGTGGAGGGTGTCCCTGCCCATGGCAGGGGGGTTGGAACTGGGTGGTCTCTGAGGTCCTTTCCCACCCAAACCGTTCTGTGATTCTATGACTGACATTGTACAACTGGAAGTAGTATCGCCACGGTATGAGGCTCATTCCAATAACAACTTTTGGAGCAGGAAAACGACATATGCTTTTGCACACGTGTGCACATCCACAGAGTTTAAGGTGTCCCCTTCTGAAAACCTGTTGATTTTTCATACCTGTAACCTTGTAGGACGTTTCCCTGTACGGGGTTAGATCTTCTCCGTTTACCAGTATCAGCTGAGGACACTTCTCTTTAGCATCCTTGACAGACATCAGTTTCTTTACTCCAAGTTTTCTGGCTTCGTAGTTACAGGTAACCACGATGGATTTCTGTTGCACACCTCAAAAATAAAGGTTAAATTTTTTTTTTTAAAGTTTAGGTTTCTTGGTACTTCACAGAACTTTCATGCCACTGCGAAGGAAATGCTTTGGTCCGAACGCAACATCGTAGAACAAAGCCAACGACCCAAGACAACAGTCTTATTTTACAAGACTGAGGGAAGGACCAGCAAGAACATTTTAAAACCTTACAGGTATTTTTTCCCATTGGAATATCGCTCTTAGTTTGGGGCCTTTTAGGGCAACCTCACCTGTCAAAGCGCTCTTGATGCAACAGTCATTTTATGATGGACTTTCTCAACTGATCGTAGATGCTACCAATTACCTCACGTTCATCCTTAACTTCTGGCTGGAATAACGCACGCTTTGAGCGTGACTGTGTCAAAAGGCTCAGGCTCATCTGTGGAACTCTGCCCTCTCCGTGCCCACGTAGGTTACAACCAAGCTTCAATCCCCAGAATGGCTCAGACACGTCGGCAAGTGCCTGGACTTGCGCTCCAGAGGATTTATTACTCTTGTAGTCGCACAGCTACACGGAGTCTACGCTGCACCCGACTCACTCCGGATGCGCTTACAGCATCCTGTATCTCACCACACCAGCGTGTCCTCAATTTATTCATGTCCTTAGTTTCTTCTGCCTGAATACACGTAATCCCCAAATGAACAGCAAATTAACTCGTACCTAAAGGCTTGTCTCTTAATTCAGGATTACGGATCATTTCTACTTGTGCGTAGAAGCAGTCCAAGTCAACGTGCACGATCACCCTGCACGCTGCGCTTCGCGCCGACAGCGACGTGCTGGGACCCGCTGCGAGGAACGGAGACCAACAGATTAGAAATTACGAGCCGCCTCGCGTGTGACGTCACCGCCTTTTCAAAATCAATCCAGCCTAATAAACAAGATATTACAAGGAGAAGATAAAATTTACAAGTTGTGTACGAATTCTAGCGCTGCATTAATTCTAGGATTACTTAGGAGTGTAAGTCATCCACCGCAGCTCAGCTTTTTACCAAACACTCCTGTTCTTGGAGGGTCAGTGGTGGTTGTTTTTCACTGAACCATTTTCGAACATCGCTTTACTGACGCAACATCCTTCCACAGTGGAACACCGAAACTCCTTTTTAATATATTTTGGGAAAACGACCTGTCTTTAACTCCGCTAAAACAGCTCTATCAACTACCTGCCTTTCCCAGGGGCAGCCGAGGAAGATGGCAAATCCCCAGCCAACAAACAGCAAACCCCGCTAGGAAAAGAAGCTCACCAAGTTAAAAAAAAAAAGGAAAATTCAAAACCAAAAAGCTGAAAATGACCCCAATTGGTTGATGGAGCCCTAACAAAACTGGTTTATTGCTGTACGCTGTTGGTGGGGCTGCTTTTAATGTCTACTGAGGTCTCTGATAGGTGGAGAAGCAAAGCAGGATCATGGAAACCATTAAAAACTAAAAAGGTGGCGAGGAGAGGCTCCCCCCCTCGCCCCCCCGGCTCCCACACGGAGCTCGCCTGTTTTCCCGGGACACCGGGAACACGGGGCGCGCTGGGCGCTCCCCCCGCACGTCCGGCCTTTCCGTGCGGGCCGACAAGCTCCGCC